CTTTAAGTTTGAAATAGGAATTACTTGTGTAAAAGGTAGAAAAATCTAACTGAAAATATTTACTTCTTAATTTCTTTAATGTTCATCAAAATAGGAGGATAAAACACTAAAAATTTGTGAAATTAAAGAGGTCGTGCACCCTTCGTTTGTGATAAGAACTTTTTAAACAGATCTCGTGTCTACTGAATTTTAAAAGTCACATGATACTTCAAATAGAAAACAATAATATGTTCTATATACTTATATGACTTGAATTTTACTATAAACACGTGAACATGGACTTTCTTTCAAAACGAAAATCCTCTATCTTATCAAAATTGTCAGAGATGTACTGCAATTACGCAATAGTCTTTCGGTACACTAATTTTCCGATAGCTTTTTCATATGCACTGACATTAATCACGAGACCTCTCGTCAGTACTTCAGCTACCGCTAAGCGCAAATACAAAAACAAAAAACGCGATAAAAGAGAACGTAAACAAAAGTCGAAGTTAGAAAGTGTTAATTGATTCTGAAAGAAACCATTTCTTACACTAAGTCATTTAACAACTGTTATGACAAATTTGTATTAACAAATAAAAACGCTTCGAATATGTTAAAAAACAAATCGCTCGTCTATCGTCTCATTTATTTTCACGTGGTTCATGATTCGGTGTTATTGGTTAATTATTATGGTCACATTCGGTAAACTTCGGTAATAAAACACAATTAGAAGGGAAAGTTTGCTCTGAATGAGGTTGTTTTTTGTCAATTATATATAAATGTTATGGACTCATCTTAAATGTTAAGAAAACGTGCAGATAGAGGACTTAGTTTAGTATATAAACATGCATTTATAATTTGAAGGAATTCGTTTCAATTACTTTAAAACATTTTCTTGAAAATCTAAATCTATATCTTCTCATCATGATCGAATTTCCAAAAGTATATATGAGTTTATTTTCAGAAAATTGTAATGTACCATTATATATTTATCAGTATCCTACATAGGTGAAGGGTGGTGATAGAAATACTGAATAATACTTTAAGATCAACACCAATAATTTCTTTACTTTAAATGTAAGGTCATAAAGTATATTTCTTTTCGGAAAAACCATGTTCAATTTTCAATTCACAAAAAGTAAAAATATATGTTATATAATATACGTTACAAATATGATTTTTAAACGGAAACAATGATTTACCTATTGAATCTGACAATATAAATGTCTAGAGATTGTGTCATATTCTTTGTATACAGAGATGAATGAGATTTGATAAAATATAGATCTGGAAAATATATTTTAAGAATATTGTATCCTATAACACAGGTTTGATCCAATGATGACATAATGACTTACAGACATATATTTTATGCTTTCATGTCGAAAAAATCAATTCTTCTTAATTGTTACTTTAAATCCTGTGTTATACCAGTTACAAACCGTTAGAGAATTATAAAAAAACAAACGTCGTGAAATCAAAAAATCTGTGTTATTTAGATTGTATATTTTTTATTGTAAATCAAAGGGGAGGAAATTAAAGAAGGCATTGGAAATGTTTGGGAATGGAATAGGAGTGTCGAATTTTTCCATACTTCAAAGGGAGGGCATTGAAATGTTTTTGAGCAATTATGTACTTCAAACATGCAAAAAATATAGCTTATTCGATGAATACAGTAAATCAGTATCTTATTATTCAGCAAAAGTGTCTAACACTAGATGCAGATGTCGTATCTATATATTTTGTGTCATCGTTTTTGGCTTCACACTTCATTTTAATATTTATATCACGTAAGTCAATATCTTCTTCTGTTTGTTTGTTTGATATGAAAACAGAAAACATCAGGGATTGATGATTTGATGTCTTTGTTTTTGCAGGTTTGTTTTCTGATTATACTCCATTCCATATGACGAAAACATTTACTATACTAATAGCTGTTTCCTTGCATGATTAATCGTGATGAGCCCATATATCAATTGTTTAAGATACAATCTTCCAGTCAAACGTGGCATATTTAACATGTCATTACGTAAATAATTTCCCTTTATGGCATTATGGCACGAAAAACACAAATGGTTGTTCAAATCGCTCTGCTCATCTTAATTGTTAAGATTTAAATCATAAGTTGCAACAAGTTCTTTTATGAAAGTTTCCTGAATTCACCGTCCACCCTTGAAGCTCTAGATCCACTACTGATGCAATATCTTATTGAATATTAATATATAAATATAGTGTATGCATGCATTGTTTTGTTATATTGATTGATTGATTGTTGATTGCTTGAGATCCAGTGGCAAATATTTCATGCATGTTCAGGACGAGAATAAATAAACAATAAATACGATAGGTAGATCATGTAATATAAGCCATCCGGAATGAAGATCGTGAAAGTTTAGACTGCCACGGAAAAATGAGGGTATATTGAATAGGGACACAAATGTAACCTTGCAACAGAACATCTACGGACTCCTCAAATGTTTATGTCTTTGGAAGGATGGTCTTGAATTTATTTTCCTTCTTCATGAAATAAATCTTAATTTAAGTACAGTGGCCGTACGGTTGCTTATATTTGCTTACATCCACTTTATTTGAACTTTGGTGGATAGTTGTCTCATTGGTAATCATACCACATCTCCTTAGTGTTATACTGAAGGTGTAAAATCGAACAAACAACGTGCTACCAGGATAATATTCTGAATCTGTAAATATCTCCGGAAATTTTACTTTCAAAATCTATAATTATTTGATTTTTAATATCATTAAACATTATTCCACGACTTCAGATTATTCATATAAAAGAAGAAGTAGAAGTATGAACATATCTTCCATTGACTCTTTGCAAGGGAAATTTCAGTTTCCACATTACTCATCTCCGTTTCAATTTTGTGTACTTAGACGAATATTTATAGGTGTAAAATAGAGAATGTCAAAAGAGGGTCTCAAAATATATACAGCTAATTTAATTATCTGGCAAAATATGTGTTATGAAGCATCTCCCTCCGGCGTGAAGAACAACTGCAATCGACAATACATAAATTTTATGGTCACCATATCGAATTGGTACAACGATATGATTTATCAGTGTCTGAACTCACTAGTGACACGTTTTTTTATGCGATCTTAGATTTTTCTATACCAATATACTTGTCTGATATGTAATTGTATCGATTTTGTCCTGTCCTCGATTGTAACATGTTTACCGAGTGTGAATTCTAATGGTAGGTGATGTATACAGCACCCGGTATCGTTCCTTTTGGAGTTTATGCGATTCACTCTGTTTCTGTTTATTACATTGAGTTGTCTCTTCCTAATTGATTAACGAAACTTGAACATAAGTAAACCACTTTTTCTTTAATTTAAGTCCACTAAAGACAGGTTATATTAGTAATGGTAAATGATAACTATTGAAATTGCGAATAATCATATCTGTGACTTAAGTGAGAAAAATACGGTTACATGCATTTACAAAATATCTGTATGGCAAGAAATTCAAATGCATTTTAACTTATTTCAAAATCTCTAGATTATTGCCATGATTTTTAACTGAACATTATCGAAACGCTTTCTTCATTATCTACCTGCAGTTTATGGTCAAATTATGAAAGTGTTTTGTCGTCTATACGTTTTATATCGGTCTTTGTATTTGGCAAATAATCGTAGTTGTAATTTTCACAATGCATTCCATTTTTACAAAATGGAAATACAATGTATGCTCAACACCCGAAATATCCTGATTTACGGTAGAAATTTATTTGTACAAAAAAATCTACATAAAGAAGTCGTTGTCGCGATAGTTCATTATCACAAATAAGTATTTGAATAAGAAACGTTTTTACCTTAGACTAGATGAACTTCAATAACTCACCCCATTTCTTCCTCTCTTTCTTTCGTTTGATATACATATATTAATTGGCTTAAGTATCAATTACTTAGTACCTAGCCACTGTTTTCAGTTGCAATGTCTTTGACTGAGTTATTTTTAATATATGTGGATAAATTATTTGTGCCATCTTATAACCATCATTAAACAGCGGAGTGAACCTAGTTTACATAATAAAATAAACTTGCTATTCTGGTAAAAATAATAATATTACATATAGGTATATAGATATAAGAAGATGTGGTATGAGTGCCAATGAGACAACTCTCTATATCCAAGTCAAAATTTATAAAAGTAAACCATTATAGGTCAAAGTACGGCCTTCAACACGGAGCCTTGGCTCACACCGAACAGCAAGCTATAACGAGCTACCTGTTCATTATTTTTTGTATAGAGCTTTGACTGTATTTTAATACAACTGTAGTTTTATTTTTGTTGTTGTATATCATTAGTCTCTTTAAAATGAATATTATCTTCAACTGAATGATCTGATAAAATAGTATCCGATTTTACTGTAGATATATTTTGTAAAACACATATGAATTTCGATCAAACAATTACAACAGAAAATCCGGCAAAACACAAATATTTTGAAAAATTCCTTGGCTAATCCATTTGATCAGATATATTAAAGACATAAATTATATCCGGATTAATGAAAATTCGTGTACTAACACAACCAACCATAACAGTGGTGGATCCAGAGGGGGTGGGGGGGTGGGGGGGGGGAGGGGGCTGGAACCCCCCTTTTTTTGACGATCAATGCATTTGAACGGGGACATATAGTTGGAACCCCCCCCCCCCCCCTTTATCCTGGGTTAGGAACCCCCTTTTATAAATAGCTGGATCCGCCCCTGCATAATATATGTTCTATACTAATATTAACGAGGCTGGGATAAGGTACCGGTATTTGATGTATCTATTAACAAATGTAAATAAATGTATGTTAATAACATTTTCCTTTAAGAAAAAAAAATGTTTATACAGTTAACAATTTAATAATAAAATAAATACTGTTTCCATTTTTATGAAATGTCAAGGCTCTTTTTAATTCCTATATCCTAAGCTGTTAAAAAGACATATGAGCGTCCTTTAATACTATGTTAAGAGAGGATCTACTTATACTTAATAGATCAAATAGTTAATCATTGATTCCCTGAAGTTAGCGGTTATGATGTGTGCATTGCTGTTAACCTATCCACCAGTTGTTGGAGGTATGTATATTCTGCATAATTTTTTATCTCGTCTTTTAGGTTTCAGTTTAAGCTAGATGTTTTAAAATTGAGTCCTAACCATCTTAACAAAACTTTTAAATATCATTGACCATTTAATTCCAAATTTACAGTTAAATTACACGTATTTTACTCAAATTTAGCAACACAACTTCTGACTGAATATAAAATAAAACAAATTTTCGATTTATCTTTCAAGTTTGTGTTTTCTTAATATTCAATAATTTATTTATACAAAAGTACTACAGTTATGTTAGTCAAATTTGTTGGACAGCTGCACAGGTCTCAAACTTTGAGGAAAGGGGTTACGATTAAAAAGTCATAATTTGAATAATGTATTGCACATGGTTTAAAAGAAACTTTCTTCAACGCACAATATTGGCAAAGTTATGCATCTGATGGCATGATTTATTACATATAACCAGAAACAAACATTTCACTCCCAACAAAATAAAAAATAAAAGTTAGTGGCATTTTTTTAACCTTCCTAATTGTTATCATTTTTTTTTTTTTAGTTTTCTTCTTTATCATGTTTATCTGTTCAACATCCTTTGAAACATGAATGCAGATATTTTCAGGTCCGTTTGAGCATTTTCTACAAAGATACTAGGCATCAAAGTTTGACCCCCATTAATCTCAATGAAAAATGTCTTTAAGTGGTATATAAGAACATACATGCCCAAGAATGTAACTTTAACACGCTAATGAGTGATATAAAAATAGTTGTTATATTTTACATATTCACGCAATATTTCGCTAAACAAATTAGCTTCATCATTGAATGTTGATTGTTGCTATTTTTAGACACTATATATGTATATATATAATAGTATATTCAAAGACTTTGATAATATTAACAGTGCCAATTTTACTGTTACAGATGGGCATTTCGACAATAAATGTTTCTTCAGTGATGCTCAAAATATTTGAAAATCCGAAAGTAATTAACAAAATGAAGAGCTCATGAGCCAAAAAGGACAAATGTATAGTCAACGTCTGGAAAGGAATAAGAGAATTGCATGAGAAACATATATTCTTTAATTTAGAATAATTTAAAGCTTACTTATACTTATGTTTGATGAACCATGAACATTTTATTAATTAGCAAATATTTTATTAATAATTCGGAAACAAGGTAGGCTTTTGTTTTCTAATTTGATGATTATCGTGGTATCTCAAACTTTTATTGTAATATCCAATGAATATTTCTATGCATTTTGGATCTTTCCATGCATGACAAGATACGTATTGCAATGAATATAACTGACAAAATCTGACTCCGAATTATCTGCAGATTTCGATTTTAAGAGTACAAAAATGACCGTTTCAACCGTTTTCAATCTTATCCAACAAAAACAATTTGATTGAATTGATTATTTTAATATGTACTCAGTAATTATGGACTCAAGTAAGAAATCATTTATTACATAAATAAAGTATATTTGATAAAGTTTGTCTGAAATAATAACACCGCTAAAACAAAGCTTTGGTTTGCAAATTGTGTCTGAACATTGCAAGAATAATAACATGGATTTTCCTAGCTTTGTTTAAACTGTGTTACTTATTTGTCAAAATCATGCATCTGAGATAAATAGCTATGTTTAAAATAGCAATGAATTTTATTAACACAATAGACCAAAGCGTGTTTGATAGTATTATGTTTCGATCTTACAGGTGGCCCTATATCCTGGGCATCTTGTATGGCTATTATTGGTGTTGGAGGTACACTGTTAGGTTCAGCTGTATTGCCAATGCTTGGGTTCACATCAGGTGGTATAGCAGCCGGATCGTGGGCGGCTTCTATGATGGCTTCATACGCCGGTGCTGTACCAGCTGGAAGCTTGTTTGCCATTTTGCAGTCGACTGGAGCAACTGGTGGTATTGCATGGAGTTCATTTGGTGGAATATCTGGATTTTGTGCCGCTTTGACTGGTCCGTTTCCATAAATTCTACTTTTAATCTGTATATTTTACGTATTTTCTGTTTGTCCGACTAGGTTTATTTACAATATTAACAAAGTCATTTTTGATACTGTGACATTTATGTAGTTGATGCTTAGTTCTTGTCATCCTATTCTAACTACATTGTACATACTTATTAATCTGACTTGAACGCAAATAGTTAACTCGTTGGCCGCACTAGGCATACCGCACTAAGGACATACGTGTGCCTCATTATAAAAGGACAAAGCGAGTACTAAAGTATAGTTACAAAGTTTAACTTGAATTCCAATATAACACATTTTAAAAGATTCCTTAACCGAATAAAAGTATAACGTCCCAATGCCAGGTCAATAGAAGTCATCCCACCAAAAATTGTACGGACACCATCATGATTTGATTGATCATTATGGAATATCAGTGTCATAGATGACTACATATATGTTCTTATTTGTTGTTGTTACAATCTCGGTCATAATTTTAACTCGATTGTAATATTACTGAAGGAGACTTATTACCGAATATTTATACTAGACATGAGCAACAAGTTGGGTTCCACACATGGTGTTAATGTGATATAAGGACACAGGATAGATCGACATATACAGCTTACAACAAATGAAGACGCAAAAAATATAATGTTATAGAAAAATATGTTTCATCTTAAAATACCTTTGCTGATGTTAAGCAAATGATCGGTTTTGATTGCAACTGACGTAAAGACAACATCAAACTCCAATTTACCCCATGGCTATTGAGATCGCTATTGACTAATTATACATCTACTATATGGTGCTGATAATCACGTATAGTTCTTTTTTGCTTTCTAAAAAAAGAATCAGATTAGTGCATCATTGCAGTCAAACGTTCAAATAAGCTTTATTTTAGTTATTCAACTTCCGTATAAAGGATCCCTTTCATTAGTACTGCATTATTTCTGAAACGCCACGCCTTCCTTTTTTATCAAAATACCTTGTTCGTTTTACACTTTTAGCAGCTCTGTTGTTTGATAAAATATTTCAAATAAAATATGTTTAAGACGCTATAAAATAGTGCAAGGTCATATCTAACAAAGTCGTGCTTATTTGGTCAGCACACCGAGAGGTCGCATGAGCAATGTATTTGAATTTCAGTTCATCAACATTTAATAACCAAAAATAAACAGACTTAACAGTTGCAATTTGTGATGTGAATCTGTCGATTTATCTAGCTAGGCTTCTCTCGTGGATATAATAAATGAACCTTACACAGTATCACTATATTAATAACTAAATATTTGACAACAATTATGCATACCTTGAATGACTCGAGTAACTATTTAGAGCTCAATGTATTCATGAAACTGTATAGACCATGCCTATAGTTGAAGACCGCATGTTTCCCTCTAGATGTCTTTTGCTATGTGTGTTGTTATATTGCTGTCTCACTCTATACCTAATTTACCTATCAGTTTGATTGGTTGGAAGAGAAAAGAGGGACGAAAGATACCAGAGGAACAGTCAAACTCATAGATCGAAAACAAACTGACAACGCCATGGCCAAAAATAAAAAGACAAACAGACAAATAATATTACAGATGACACAACATAGAAAACTAAAGACTAAGCAACACGAACCCCACCAAAAACTGGGGGTGATCTCAGGTGCTCCGGAAGGGTAAGCAGATCCTGCTCCACATGTGGCACCCGTCGTGTAAAGAGGGTAGTACTACATATTTGGTAAATCAATTATTAGTTTCCCCTCATTCACTTCAAACTTTCTAGCATGTGGATAAATTGATTGAAACTATGCATTACGTTATGCATATATAAACGAGAACATGTTTTGCATGCCGGTGTCACGTGTGAAGCAAATCTGGCTACTATCTGTCACCAAAACTCACAAAAGTCCTTGACATGCAAACATTTAATATTTTGAAAGAACAGCTGATGCATGTGAAGATGGTGAGCGTATCTTCCTCCGGAATATATCAGGCACATCTTATTCATTGTAATTTTTATTATTTTCTAGAATAGTCATCATTTTTTTTTTATTGTTAATTAAACCATTCGTTACGCGTTTTCCTTATAGTACTGAACCCTTGATGGTAAAAACATCGAGGAGAACATACGACGTTTCTTTTGAAATACTCATCATTATCATTATGGCAAATTTTCCTTACAAAGTTTTAGTACTTGCTTAAATAAGCTTTACAAAGTTGTCACACAGCAGTTACTTCCATTTTTCTACCATATTGATCGTCTTTGAATAGTCAAAACTTACAACAAACAGTACAAGAATAAAAATAAACAAATCAACTATAAAGACAACGAACCGTCACGAAATTCGGAGCAACGTTCGGAATCAACTGTACGGCGTTTATACTCTTGATATAATATATTGTACATGTATACATGTATATGCGTAAAAGTAATCCCTTAATAATGTTTTAGTTGATTGAATGTTGTTTGCTTACTGTACAGCGGCAAATATTTCATACATTTCTGGACGATAACAAATTATTATTAATTAGGTATAAAGTCTGCAAATTTAGTTGAGTGACCGAGATAAAGGGGACCTGCCACAGAGAATCGAAGGCATGTCGGATTGGAGCATTTTTGGTAACACGAACTAAGGATACATTGAACGGAATTTTAGTTCAATCAAAAAGTTTGTTATAGGATATATTCAGCAGGCATTCATGGTTAGAAAGAAAGATGTGTGAATCATTGACATTTGATCTTTTGTCAAACGTAAATAGAAAAAAAATGTGTAATTCGGCAATTTTAGACTGCATCGTATTGTATCACTAATACTGGTCTTAAATATGCATGCTTTTTGCCAAAATATATATAATAATTGTCTTTTGGTCACGGATAAATATGGTTTTAATGATTTTTGAAAACTGATATATACCGAGGCCAACATTCAATGAAATCATATATTTACCAAAGACAAAAACAGTAATAGTTTTATTCTATATTCCAAAAGAGAAAAACATGTAGTTAATGGCAACTATTTAGCAAAAGTAATTGTAAAATTGAGAATGGAAATGGGTAATGTGTCAAAAAGACAACAACCCGACCAAACAGCAAAAAACAGCTGAGGGCCACCAATAGGTCTTCAACACAGCAAGAAAATCCAACACCCGGAGGCGGGCTTCAGCTGGCCCCTAAACAAAACCGTGGACTAGTTCAGTGAAAATAGACGTCATTCTAAACTCCAAAACATATGAATGAACTAAAATTAAAAAAAAAAAAAACAAGGCTAACAAAGGCCAGAGGCTCATGACTTGGGACAGGCGCAAACATGCGGCGGGTTAAACATGTTTTGTGAGATGTCAATCCTCCCCTATCCCTCTAGCCAGTGTAGAATAAACAAACACACAGCAATACGCACAGTAAAACTCAGTTTAAAAGAAGTCTTAGTCCGATGTCAGAATAGGCAATAAAAGAAACTAAGCAAAATGACAATGATACATACATTAACAAAGGACTACTAGCATTTACTGACTTGCCAGCTCCAGACCTCATTTAAACTGATTGAAAGATTATGTCTTCATAATATAAAATCAAGCACTATTTCTCCAGTTTAGTGCAGGAATTCGGGATTAACCCTTATCGGGACTCAGGAATTCATAATAATTTTTTCCGGATCCGGGAAAGAATTCTTTAATTGTCTGGAATTCGGGATGACACCTCCAGCTACCGCCCCTCATTTAAAATCGTGTGATGTTTAACACTTTTCTTCGGGTGAAAATGCTGCCACTCTCAGCTAGTAGCTACCATGTCTCTAGTAAAGAAAGGCTAAACTAGTCTCGGTAGACATTATGTAGTTGTTGGGTACACGTTGAAGATGACAGATGAAGTATGTTTTATTACCTCTGTGCATCACCGACTGTTCAAGACCCGCACAGATATTCAAGGTCGTTAACCCCCCCCCACACCTTTCCCCCTCATCGACTATGTGTTTTTTTATAATTTCACACTTATGAATTACGGGGCGTATTACATTTGCGTGGTTTTTGGAATTGAAGGCCCGAGAAAAAAATATATTACATTTTCACGACTTTGCATCTATTCATTTGTTGGTGTCATTTGGACATAATAGAACTATCGCTAATAATAAAAGGAAGAAGTCGTGTAAGGCTTAACTTAGAACTGACGAACTTTCTACCACCGTAATGTCTGGGAACTCTGCTATATAAAGTCATCTGACGACTACCCTTGGCAGGGACGGTACAACTTGTAAATGTCATATTTACCTCTAAATTACTTTTTTTAAAAACGCGCAAACGTAATGATATTTCTCGATCAAATGTAACATTTATTTCGCATAAATCTAATGCAAACCCGCTCAAATGTAATGCACCAGAATTAAACCGATAAAGCCGAATATGCATTTAGGCTCTCCTGGGTAATTCATGTACTTGATATCATTTAGTTTAATATGTATACCGTAATATATGATATGTGCCTCCCTCTTGCTTCCGTATAATTTTTGTATGTCTGTACATATACATTATGTACTATTTATTGTGTGTATCTCTATACCAATGTAATTTGGTTTGATGAGAAATAAAGATATATAGACCACTTCTGCGACATGACTCCGAACAGTTTAATTAACGCACTCCATGATTTTAATTGCGGTGCACGACCGAGCAGAGCTAATATGCGAGTGCTGAGGTATAATTTAGATTTGTTACTTTTAAAAATATACGAAAAGCGAGATAACTCAGATGTGCATTATTTGAAAGCAGCTAATATATTATACGTCCATTTAAAACAAATGAATATATTTTGTATACTTGAATGCTAAACGTGTACTAGAATCGATGGAGTACATATAATTTCTTTTAAAATCCGTTTACTTAATCAAATATTCAGACTGTTATTGCTAAAAAATATACGAAATAAGCATATTTCAGAATATTACAACAGGTATCCACGTGTTGAGAAAATGAAAGGACTGCTTTCATTTTGCAATATTAAAGTTATTAATAATTTATCACTTTTCATTAACAAATTAGCTAAAATATTGTAATCATACTCTAAATTATATGATTATGTTAACATTTTTCTGTTGCAACCATAAATATGATTGTGTATTTTGCCTCT